CAATGTTGTGTAAAATATGATGGACAAATGCGGTAAAATATTTTGATATTCTAACAACAAGTTTGAATTTTCAACATAATTATTTTGATAATAAAAATAGTTTTCAGATCTGTATTTAGTAAAATTGTAAATCTTTCAACAAAAATTGATGAAAATGTTTCTATATAATTTGATGATTTTAGTACGATATTTCTCATACATTTTAAGCAATCTAAATATAATTCGTGCAGGGCATTAAAACTTCTTACGAGTGTGATTATGCTTTCGAATGATAAAGGTTAGTATTTTAATAGAAAAAAACCCATGATTCCCGCGCGATCAAAGACTTATTACAAAGTTTCGTTACAGTAATTACTAAGGGTGGTGTACGTGTCACGCATGCAATTCTGCTTTCAGAGGAAGTGCGTGCAAGTTGTTCGTCACAAAAAGAACGATTTTATGGGGTTAAACTGGCTCGTAACAGGAAATTCTATCGTTTTGCTTCTGGTCGATATTCGCATGAATTACATGGCGCGACAAAAATTCTCGGCAAAATACTTTCGCGCCTTTGGTCTTATCATCAAAAAATATTTTTTAACAATCACACTATTACGTATTACGTATTTATAAACAGCTTACCGTATAAGTAAATAATTAGTCATGAAATCAACGATCGGTCAATCAATTAAATTTTATTTCTGCCAATCACCTTAATTTTGTATTATATTTACATCATAATTCAATTTATTTCTCGTGTTACAATATAATGTTCGTTAAATATAATTTTTTTTTTAACAAAAGAGAATATATCTTTACACACTTGTTATTTACGATAAATAAAAGCTTTTATATTCCGTGATTACAAGATGTAAAAAGAAAATTGCGAAATCCGTACGATCGTTCGTAGGAAGCAACATGCTACAATTGCAACGAGATGCAAACGCCGTTAACGGTATCGCTCAAGGGGTTCCTTCTTTCTGACTTTAACATTTCGTGAAACTCACGAGCATGCACTTGACGACATGTAACGAACGCGCGAGAGAATAGAAACAACGAGGAGTGACACGTGCTGGAAAACGTAGGTTTCTCGATTCCGGGGCGGAAAAAAGGCGACGGAGAAAGGTAGAGTGGTTGAGCGAGCAGCGCGCGGAGAGAAGTTAGAAGAAAAAGAAAGAAATAAAGCGGCAAACGGTAAGCAAGGTCCCGACGAGGAATACGAGGACGTAAGCTCGTAGGGAGAGTACAGTGGCTCGTATTGTCGAGTTAAGCATAAAACAGAATGACCGTAACTGCGTCGAACGACTTTTCGCGCATTACGAAATTTTAAAAGCAATTCCCGCGCCGAATTACCGGCATCGTCCAAGCAACTTATAAACCGCGTGCCCTCTCATTTTTTTTTCTTTTTTTTTTGCGGAGTCTATGCACTTGAAATTTATAAATATATTAGCCATACGTCTCGCATGCGGAAAGACACGCGTGGGAAAAGGGAGGAAGCAAACGTAAAACATAAGAAACGTATAGCGAAAAACGGAGTGATAGAATGCGCTTCGTCGAAAAGCGTACGCAAACGTACGTTATTTCTTGTGAAAGTTTACATTTGATATTATTCGCAATAACTCTAACGTTACGTCGAGTCCGCAGTGACTCCAGAATGAAAATTATATATAGGATGACAACTCTCATAGCTGTCGCTATTCGCAATTGCTTTAGGAATTCATGAATAAAACGGAGATTTGCAGAACACGATATATGTTTCATATACAATTTTTGACGGTTGTGGAGAGGTGGATGCGATGAAGCAAAGTTCTTTATTCTCGCACATCCATCTCGATACAGCGATCGATGACAGAGTAGTCTACACTACATGTCAAAACTACTTCCTACAAATTGATTGTTTCAGTTATTTTTACAACTGGGACGTTTTACGAGACACGCGCGAGTGACATTTTCTCGTTCCAGCAAAAACGACAGTTATAAACGCCGAAAGTTCTGACACTTTTTTTACATTGTTTTATCCCAGTGTAAACATTTCTTCTTTTTTTTTCGCTAACCGCGTGAGGTTTGAAAAAAATATATTACGGAGTGTTGGACGAGCGGAAAAACGGAAGTTGATCTGCGGTTAACAAAATTCAAAAAGTTACTCCAACTTAAGGCGCACCGCGCTTTTCATTAAATATATATTACTAAACTTCGCCTCGGTAGCGTCAATTTGATGGTACCGTAAGTAATTTAGACGCAAATGTGAACTAATTTCTAGAAGAAAAAAGTGGACGGCAACTTTCAAACTTCTAAATAAGATGAGGAACCGAGAGTCGATGTCTTTTTGCAAGTTAAATATGTTCCGGTATATTAGACACTGCACACGCTTGCAGTGTACTCTGATAAAGTAAGAAGGGATTTCGAGTTCTACCTTGGAATACCCTAATTAAAGCAGATGTTTTCGGAGAATTATGATCCGCAGTTAAACCAAGAGAACATTACTTCTTTTTGTAAAATAAACATTTTCTCTCTTAGCTTAATTGTACATGAAAGTAGACTTGCGTCTCTTTCGAAACATCCATATATCATTTAGGATGTAAAAATGTCGAATGTAGAAATATGGCAAAATATAAGTATTACACGGAAAAACAGATTTGACTGAAATAATCTAAAAAATTTGGCCAGACAGAGCTGAAAATGATTTTGTTGGACCATCAAAATAATTATGTAGGAAACTCATAATGAGCGATGTTACAAAAAATTTTAATATTTTAGCAACCAGCTTGAACGTGCCATATAATTATTTTGATGGTCCAACAAAATTATTTTCAGCTCTGTATTTAACTAAATTTTTAGATACTTCAGCAAAATCATTCCCTTCCTATTTACAATAATTTCACAAAGAGAAATTTAATAATAAACAATTTCAACAGATTTTTTTCTCATTCCTGAAATTTCCCTTTCGTAATACAAGCTATTGTGTATGCGACATAATTACATCTCATCGAGTTTCGACGGCCGATGTGGCAAGGACGGTTTATTAGCAGAAACGTAACACGTGACATAATCGCAACTGCGGAACGATTTTCGTTCAAGGTTGATTATCTCTAGTCAACTGCAGGATGATTCCACGATTCATATCGCACGCGACGTGGAGCGCGTTATTGAAACGTAATAAGTGGGAAGGGGATCACGTGGCTGTCAATTATTATGGCATTATCGCAACGACGATTCGAACGATCGTCGTAATCGTGAACAACAAACACATCGTAGAAGCCATCCGCGTAAAACGAGCGGATCGTAAACCGTTTACGCGTATCGGACGCTTCTTTCGACGGAGACGTTACTCGCGCGCGCGCGAGATAAAAATTTCACACAACTGCACGAAGGAGGGGTCGCGATGCGGCCGCAAAAACGAGGACGGGTATTATTATCGCGTTTGAACCGCGACACGAGTCGCCCATCGTTCTTCGACAAACGATCGAAATGTGTTGCCTCGGCGACGAGGGACTCGTTGTCGGGCAACGTGTGCGTGGAAGCGTTCAAAGATAAACGGTGCCATATACAAAGGGGGGCAAAGGGGAGAGAGACCCCTGCGACTGTTCTCCGGGAAAAAAGTGACGCGGGTTTGAGGTCATCGGCACGTTGGCTTATGAACGCGTTGATACGACATTACGTCATTTCGACGCGGCGGCGAATGGACGATTCGTCATTTCAACTCGTTAAACCGAGTTCACATTCTAGATCTCGTCTCAACGATCGATCTTCCCCCTCTCGATAATCACGCGGGAATGCATCGATTCTTCTTCTTCAAGAGAGAGAGAGAGAGAGAGAGAGCAGCACAGAGTCATAAACACTTATTGCTAACGTAATCCGTTGAATTAAATAACATTTTGTTATTTATATGTGTCAAAATGTAAATTAACCCATTTCTACAGTTATTATTTTTAAATTTATTTTCCATATTAATGTGTTTGATAAATAATAAATTAAATTTGAATTTTAAATTTGAATAATAAATTAAATTTAAATCTGTAACATAGTTTTTTGAATTAAATTGTTTAACTCCATTTAGTCAGATTAAAGATATATTAAGTAAAAGTGCAGGCGATCTATAGATATGATTAAAAAAATAAGATATAATTTGACATTATAAATTTAATAGTATAAACAAATTAAAATAAAAGCAGGCATTGAAAGTTAAGCACAGATTATATTTTATACGTTACATTTACTTAAGGAGTCAATTATTTAAATCTTACGATATTCTGTACGTTTCGACTCCAACATTTTTAACGACAAATTAAAAATTGAGAACTGCAAATCAAAAACTACACGTTGGTGTTAAATGCTGTCAGGTAAGTCACGATTAAAACAAAATAAAGTTCAATCAGTTGAAAGACTAGATGGATATTTAATTTTATTTAACACTGTAAACTCGAGTTTTTGCACTACTAAATCATTTTTAACATTCGTCGAATCAATGAGATCAATGTGAAAAACTATTCGTAAATAAAAACCATTCAAACTGGCGAGAATGCACGCCGCCGATCGTGGAGTTCAGAGTAACAGTGAGTTTCGGAATGTCCTTCGCAACTATATTGCTTGGAGTAACGACTAATTTGCATGTTTACATCACTCGGGGGTCGTACGTGATTACCCCGCTGGCGAAATTGCCGCGTTTAATAACGGAATTTGCAATATTAATTGCGACACCAGCAATATCTACCTACGCGACTGTTTTACATTACTCGTAATCGACACCGCGCGCGCGACGTCGAATAACGGGGATTACTAATTAACGGTGGCACACTGTTAACGACATTAAATGCGGTAACGGCCATTCATCTCCTGAGAATGGTGCGCTATTCAAACTTTAGTATTCTGGTGCGCGAGAGAGCCGCGGACCATTTCGAGATGCGAACCCGGACGGTTTCGCATCGGCCGGCGCGATATCGCTCACTCATGCGTCACATTAGGCACGCGTTACGCGTTACGCGCGTGTGTTGTGTATGTACAGTCCGTAGAAAAAATTCACATACCTGTTCGATCACTTTCGCACGGGGCCGGCGATCAACTCGATGACAACAGGAGAACCTCCGGGAATCCGCAAGCTCCGGGACGACGGAGACGACGCCGAGACAACGCACAGGAAGTCCGGAAGGCTGGATCACTCTCTCGTTCACAACTGTTCACAACAGAACGGAGCAGCACATCAAATATGACAGTCTTACGACACGTCGTCCGGCTTACGGCCGACCGATAATGAAAAATCGATATCTCTCTCGCGCGATTTTGAAAGAGACGGGTCAAGTAAGTAAAGTTATCAAGCTATCTAGTAATTTTGCTATCGGGATTCCAGCCCGGTATGTCACGTACGCGTTAATCGCGCCTCGCTCGCTCGCCCGGCGACCCGGCTTCTCCAACCGTCCGAGCAGCACCAACCGAAGTCCGAACGCCTCGGAACGCGGTAGCCGACTGACGCGGGACGGATGCTGTGAGTGCTGCGACCGGTGTGCGTAGTCTTGCCGCGCGCGAGACTCCCCACTCACAGCAGTGCAGCGCGCCCCCTACCACTCACCCTCTTATCCTCTCCTTCTACCACCACTACGCCGCAAGCGCTGCTTCTCCCGCGCTCTCGTCCTCACGCTCGTACTCCTTGCATTCGCGCGACTCACGTTGCAGAGCGCACTTCTGTTTCCGTCTCCGTTAAACATATCTATGCCACAGGGTCGGTTCTCTCTCTTGTCTCTCTCTCTCTCTTTCTCTCTTTCTCAATCGTTTTCAAGAATCCTACTCACTCTCCTGCACCGCAATGGTATTATACGAGGACACGATTCGACTTGTTCGCTTTCATTAATTACACTTCGACACTGACAGAATGAATGCGCCTGATAATTGAGAGAGTTGAATTGGAAAGTATGGAGAGTATATTAATTATACTATTTTTTTTTGTCTCTCCTATTTTTCAATTACCTCCGTATTTCGCCCGATCGTTTTCCCGCTACCATTTTTTGTCGGATTATTCCTATGCATATTGCACTTTATAGCACAATGGTTTTCATTGACGTGTGTACAGTCGACGATTTTTCAATAACAGGTAATTTAAAAGTTCTCTCCGCGATATGAGAATTACGAACGCTAATTTTTGTTATACGCGCATCTTAATTATTATTATGTACGATGTTTCAGTTAATTTTATAAAATTCGTTATATTATTAAATGAATTGATATTTTTTTCTACATGTGAATATCTAATAAATACAGTGAGTACGAAAAGTAACGTACAAAATTTAAAAAAAAAAGTCTTATTTGTAGAAAATTAAAATTAAAATTAACGAGCAATTTTATACAATGAATACGTTTTGCTCTCATATAAACAAATTCGCGTGTGTTCCTAATTTTAGAAGCTAAATTTCTCAACTATGTGAATCCAAATAATATTGTACATTGATAATTTTTGGTTATTTTTAAAATAATATATTTTATTTAGTTATTATTAATCTTTTTGGTACAATAATTTTGAGAATTGTACAGTCTATCTATTTTATTCTTTAGAATTAAATTAATTGCTAATTAATTAATTACCCAGCAAGAAATGACAGTCAATTAGACGTCGAATCGAATTAGTGTTGATATTATCGATATTTATTTAACATCAATTTGACGAGCCATTTCTTGCTGGATGTTTACTTTTCAAAAATAAAAATGCAAGATTAAAAATACTTAAATTTCAGGAGCAAGATCAAAGAAAATTTTCTCGAAATATTAAATATTTACAAATGCACATTTAAAACTTTTGGTAGATACTAATTCAGAACGTTGATACAAGACGCGTTACTAGATTCCTTACTTACTCCATACTTTCTTTCCCATTTCTTCCTTCGAGATCAGTCTACGTTGACTCAAATAAAAAAAGTAGAAGCCAATGCAGCGAAAATAAACGAACCGGACCACCGCCTTATATGGCGGCCGAAAGTCAGAGGTAAGTGACCGCTTCACCGAAGCGTGGACCACCTTATACACGCGCACGTGTCTCTTTCGTTCTCTTCCGTCCTACATGCATCTGCTTTTTTGCACTCGATGTCGACTCTCCACTCTTCGACTTACTCTTTCGCTTCGTCGAAATGGCTGGCGTCTGTCGTTTCCCTTCGCCCCTGTCTGAGCCAATGCCGCACCCCCTCCTCCCCGTCCGCGGCCCTCCCACGACACTGGGATGAGAGTGCGTATATGACCGCGGGCACGTTCCTACGCACGACGACGCTCCGCACTTGGTGCGTACGTGATGCATTCGAGATGCATCGAGTGCCGAAGCGTCCGCATTCAGATGCACCACATCTCCGGAATTTCAATTCGACCTTCGGCGTGATAGAATCGGTGCAATTCGACGAGCATAAGCGCGAGAAATTATCGGTTTCGCGAGACAAAATAATCCAATAAATCTCGAAATTTTTAATTATGGTTTAATCTCCAAATCCCGCTACTTCGTTTTTGTTTATGAAATGTGATTTCATTTTGTTTCTTTTTTTTTCGCAATTTTCAAATATGATATTCTCCATTTACTGGTTTTAAATCAATATTGCATCGTTAGATTAATGTTGTTATATACAAAGCAATGTTTATGTAATATAAAAATATATTTTGTTAAAATCATCCATTAAAAGGACGTCCATTTAAACGCACCGACTGTGTAGGAAAAACGGAGTTTCCACCATAACGTTTTCCGACCATAAAAATCATAAAAATATTCTATTGTTATCGAAGTTTTTACAGTTATGTATATTATATTTTCTTTTTCAAAATTAACTCAGTTCCTTTTACTTTAGCCAAATTTTTCCATTGGTTCCATTGTTTTCTGAACTAAAGTTTATTCTGCGAAAAACTAATGTATCTCACTACTTCACATTCGCATTTATTATAATTTTCGTATTTTAATGATATTTATTCGCGTTATCCTATATATAATATAAATATAATATTTAATATAGATTCGACTTTCGAAATTTTACATAAAATATTCAATAAAAAGGCTGAATAATCTATGAGCATGAGATTTCTGGTTTTATTGTTTAAGAATTATATCACTATATAATTCTTGTTGTAATATATTATTGTTGTAATATTTTTCACAATAAGATCTTTACAGTTTTCTAGCTGCAAATAGCATAAAAAATGATTCAATTGAATTTAGGGGAATTATTAGTATTTCAGATTGATTATGTTGAAAGTCTAAAAGCAATCGGCGTGCAATCATATTTATGAGATAAAATTTATTTAAAATGCATATGTAATATTAGTCTAATATAACTTTGACTGTAATTAGTGCTTCTCTTACTTAGTTGATTTATTCATATGAACGATTTTGTTTCTAATCTTAATTATTATTGCTATAATATTATATTTAAAAGAATTTTATAGCTAAAAGTGATTCAAATGTACAAGAATTGTTAAGATTAGATCAAAGTACATTTTATTTGCATTTTAATTATCGTGCTGTTACTCTCAATTAGCCTTCTTATCGAGTATTTTATAATATAAATATACATTTAATATGATAACTTAAACGCGGTCAAAAATTGATATTTTTCAGTCATCTCGAAGAATCAGACAGTCAGATCAGAGCGATCAAACAGTCAGATCATAATTTAATTCACAGATTATTCGATTAAAGTTCGCTCTTGACTACCAAAGTTTTCTTGGAAGAACTATTATACTTGCGTCTGTCGGTGGTTGAGAATATGCTCGGAAAACGAGCAAAAACGGCAAAAGCTTTTCGCACGCGGATTAATTTGGACGCCAGGAAACCGAAATGCATTCTTAGAGTCGTTGGTCCTTCCGTCGTAAAATCCTCGCGCGGTCGCCCATATCGCACGATTTATTTCCCTTGGCGACCGCAATATTCCTACCGCCACGACTGGTGGACTTTAAAGGAACAGTCAGACGAGAGCTATGGATTCTCGTCTACCTAGTTCCTTCGCGAAACTTTAATTTCTCACGATCTCGCGAAAGTCTCGACGGCGCCGTCTCCCTACGGCGGGATGTGTGCAGTCGTAACCGAAAACTTTTTACAACGACAATAACGCATAGTGTAAATGTCTGTGTCTACGAGGTATATTACGCCTTTAAAATGATATCCTTTTCAAACTTATATTTTCTTTCAATTAGATAAGTTTAGATTTCATCAAAGTAAATTAATGAATAAAAGTTGCTTATAAGAGCCAAACATTACACTGTTAAATAATTCAAATTGAGTATAATCAAATTATACTCAATTTGAATTATTTTTAGTTATTTCTATAGATCGTCATTGCTCTTACTCAATATATCGTTAATTTGATTAAATATAGAGTTAAACAATTTGTGACGATTCAAATCAGATTCAAATTTTCTGCTTACGTATAAAAATCATTTCTGAAATGAGTGTTTTATTTAAAATTTTTCCTCGTCTAAAATTTTTATATTCTTTTATGCAATCAAATTCGTGCGCTGATTCAAGTCTATGCTCCGTAATGACGGAATGTTGAGTCATGTTCCAATTTGTATGGTTTTATTGATTCTTGCTTTTAACACTCTACTCACGTAAGATGCATTGTAATCCTTGCAATCAATCTTATATACCACAACGTTGCCAAATTATTATTTTCTTTGTAATCATTAGAAGAGTACTATGATAGAGGTTCAAGATAAATTATTAATAAATACTGCACAAATATTCATGTGTTTAGAATTCATTGGTCATACAGATTAAGAAGATTACGTTATTGTCATATCGATCTGGTTCATGAACTTAATATTTCACTACAACGTTCTACATCCCATACGAGCAAAATTGTGTGGGAAGTACGGAAACGTTTTTCAAACTGAATTTTTTACGGCGGCCGGATAAAAACTATTCGTGCAGACGAATAATAAACTAGATATACAACGGGAGAAAACTAATGGATTTTAAAGCGAGCATTTAAATCAAACCATTCATTTATACTTTTATTTGCGTTTATTTATTAAATAACAGCAATTAAAAACACCGTGCATTCACTGTGGTAAAAAAAAAAATACAGTATGTATGGTATTCGTCAAAAAGTACAATCAGCTAAATTCAGCAAAACATGAAGTGACTTCGTCTATTCCGGCGTTTGACTGGCGTCGAGATTTATTCTTCTCATCCACGTCAGTCCGTTGAATTAATTTCGACCGTTCTAACGATCGTTCTATCTTGGTATTCGATCGTTTACCATCGCGGATTCGTCGTTTATTGTAATCGTAATTAAGTCCGGCTTTTATTTCGACGCGGCTCGGAGTGTTTGCTCGAATTAGCATTATTATTTCCCGACGCTTTTTTTCTATCCTCGTCGTTGACAATTACGGATTACAAGCGATAAATTAAAGCTCGGCTTAATTACGAGCTTGCGTGTCATACCGACTCGCACGAATGTTGGCATGCGTTAAGGGCGTGGGGGAAAGGGCGGAGTACAAAGGGAAGGGTAGAAAAGGGAGAAGGAGGATAAAGCAGCGACTGCCTACGTTGAAGCGCTGTTTGCACAA